CACCCACACCCCACCCCACACCCCACACCCACACCCAGCCACACCCACACCCTCAAGTAACTATCTTTTACACACATCCGGAATTTAATATGAATATTTTTTTTATATGCTTTTATAACTCTCAATCGAGGAGGGACTAGTCCCCATTAATCATCAAATCTAAGAAATTTCCGAATGTTTGATTCTGTTAAAAAATATAGAATATTACAAATCACTGGTATTGTAGTCCGTACATTTTATTATTGATATATAAGATACAAATATCATTAGTATGACACACTTCAAATGTTATTTTATATTATCAAAACTCAACGTTCAATATTTATAAATTTAAAAGAAGTGAACAACATGCAGTTCCATATACACGACTTTCACTCCCATTGATATTTGTACAATATTCATTTTTAATCCATAATGATCGATCATCACATATTCGACTAATATTTGAATCCTGAACACCTAATAATGTTAATGGATGTGTTTCGAGAAATGGTTGAAATATTTTTTCATCTAAATAAGTTATATTTGTGTTATAAAGCCGTAAAAAAACCGGTCGATTACGAAAACGAGTAAGAGATGTTGGTTCGAAACTTGAATCATTTAACATTGGCCCATAAATTTCAATATATAACATATCATATAAATTATTAGTAATTGAGACTGATCGTCTATTTAGAGCTAATGAATATTTTCCAATTGTTGTTAGTAAAGGTGAATAGATTTGTAATTGTGTTAGATTCGGTACATTGTAAAATGGATATTTACCAATATGAACAATGGGTTGTATTGTTTGTGTAGAATGAACACCTAACCGAATATATCGAAGTTCACTGTGATTGAATGCATAATCTGGAATGAATTCTAGTTTATCATTTTCCAGATTAAGAAGTTTTAAATTATTAAATTGTTTTAATATAGTAAATAATGTGTTACTGTCCGATAAATTTGTATTTAAAGTTTTAAATACTTCTACATAATTTCGTGTATTATTAAATGCATGAATATCAATTGAATTTAAGAATGGATTATTATATAATATAATGTGTTGAAAAATTATATTTCCAAAGAGATTTTCTGGTAGATGATTAATTTGTGTATTATGTAAAAGAAAATCATTAAAATGTGTAAGATTATTCGATAATGATTGATTATTTGTTGATAATATAACACTAAGTCTAATAAAAATAGAACGTAAATCAAAAGATGAATTTTGAATATGTTCACATATAATTGATTTATAACGAATTGGAATGGTTGCTGTTAGAGTTGGATAGAGTATTATTGGAACATCGGATGAATTGCTTTCAATACATAAACATGGTTCAATTAAAGAGTTAGGGGGACATTGACTACTGACAAGCATAAAATATTGAAGAATAATACATAATATAATCGAAACTATAAGTGCGTGATGCATATTTAAAATACTGTTAGCTGGATATAACGATTGTAAATGCAGAAAAACAGCAGAGTGATATAAAAAAAGATTTTAGGTGAAGGTTACAGATAAATGCCAATATGTTGAATTGATAATAAAAAAAAATAGTGAAATATGATTGATAATCTGAGATTATATCGTTTAAAATGATTAGTGATTAAACTATTTTTATTGTGAATAATTCATTTCATGATCGAGATATTTCGAAGATTGAGAGTAAAAATAGTTTTTATTTCTTCATCACACTCATCAAATATCATCATCTTTTTAAAGCTTATCTAATGGTGAGTATACATTAGAAAATAATCAACAGAATGACTCAATAAAATGAAAGAAGACATTTTGGTTTGTTCTCCTTACCTTTAGATCAACTTCATACATAAAGTATTTGCTTTCCTGGGTATACTAATTCTTTTCATTGACATGACGCAGGATTTTTTTTAAATCAATAACAATATATTTTTCTTCTCCTCAATTCAAATAATTTCATAAGCAAAAAAATTGATAATGCTATGTACTACTGTGAGCAAGATAATTTTTCTACTCTTTACTATTGTGATTAGTGTTATACAAAAAGATTGCTTACCACTTTCAACTTTTCAAATTACTCAACCAGATTGATTTAATTGTTCTGTTCTGTCAAATAGAGTAGGTTTTACTCATATACATCAAATATTTAGATTAAGGATGAGGATGTGAAAATGTTTTAAGATTGTGAATTTTTGGTTTCGAGATATTTTGGGTGTGGGTGTGGCTGTGGGTGGGTGTGAGGTGTGGGTATGGGTGGGTGTAGGTGTGAGTCTAGCTGTGGTAGTGAAGAGAAAAAATGTTCATGCCAACCACACCCACACCAGGGTTGCCACCTCATGAAGTTGAAAAGCGGAAAGTTCATCGAAAAAAGCGGGAAAATGGTGAAAAAGCGGAAGAGGTGGCAACCCTGACTCATACCCATACGTCACACCCACCCACACCCCACAAAGACTTTTCATAAATCATTAATAATTTTAGTTATCGATGTCGTGCAAACTTGTCTATTAGTTTTCGAAATTAAGTGAAGATTTTTTCACCGATTGAAAATTGAAAGTTAATTAACTGATGTCTATTGAGAAAAACTGACACTAGGGCTATGGAATAATTATTGTATCATTCTCATTTCATATTAATGACTTGGTTTAATAGGCACATGTTTATAGGACGTAAACACAAAGACTTTATACTTTTCTTCTCAACAAATTATTGAAGCCATTTTATTGAAACAGACACTGTTGTCCTTTATAATATATTAAAATCACTCTAATCTGAAGCATTGTTCATCATCAATGTCTGAACCTCTGAGATACTCATTTAAAACTATTTCGCTTTAGGATATTTGTTGGTATTCAAACGATTCATTTACTCTTCTAATTGTTCTTGTTCCAAATTACTGTATTACACAGTTGCTCTGAAGGATATGGGTGTGGGTGGATGTGGGTATGCAGGTGTGTTGTGTCACTAAGATATCCCGTCGACTCATACCCACACCCACATCCAGTTAAAGATTTCTGAGACTCGGATTTTGTAAAGCACAAGCTAACAGGAGTCTTGAAATGCATAGAGTATAGATTAGGAACACTTCTCCCCATCTCATAGACCGTAACAGTCAGCCTCCGAAGACCATAACAAACCGTTACTGAGGACCTTTAGAAACTATCGCAGACCGTGATAGACGTTGCTGTTATACGACTGAAAACCGTATGTCTCCAGCATCTTCTTCAAATACATGAACTACTTTCCTATTGCAGTTCATAATGATTCACTAAAGAATGATGAAATTCCGCATGGATTACGTTAGAAGCTTCTTTATACTACAGTGGCTAATCTTACAAGATACTACGTCTGGTTTTTGGACTTGAAATTGTAGAGAAGAACGTACAGGAAAAGGGCGTACAGCAAAGAATATACAGAAAAATATGTATAGAGAATGACTTATAGAAAAGACCGTCTCTAAAAGGAAGTGTACGAAATGACATATAAATGGAAGTCTAAAAAGAGACGTGAAGATAAGTGTGTAAAGAAAAAAAAGTGGAGCAAAATATGTATAGAAGCGACCTACAGATTCTCAGGCACGGGAAGATGCATAGAAAGGACGTAAATTTAAAAGAATCAGTAGAGTATGAGCATTTTTTTATTGCTTCCAAGCGCAGAAATAGAAAAAGAAGCATAACGTCGAGTGAGCTGTGGGAAAGATAGAGAGCACCAAGAGCCTTCAGAACTGAGTTTCATCAGCTTACGGGTTTGTAGGTTAACTTATTTTGATCATAATGAAATTAATTTCCTCTCTTCGATAAAAATGCTTCAATAACATCAATAAAGCGATGTCACACTCGATGGGCATGCAAGTCTGAAGAGCGATATCAGTGATTGAAGCAATCTGATGTATAAAAACAAGGTGACTGAATGAAAATTAAGAGAATTACGTGTCTTATCGAGAAAAGGCTTCGAATCTTTCGTGAAACCGATTCTTTTGATGAAGCAACTTTGAACAGGTGACATTCATTTATATTTAATCAAACTTGAAAAGAGGAAATTACAAGAAAAATGAGAAGAGATTCGTCGAAGAAAAACATCTTCGATAAAGTCAAATTATTTCTGGATAGAAGCTGAACTATTTATATGATTAATGCCATTTGAAATGAAAACAATGAGCAAGAGCAGTAATAACCATAAGTACAATTTATGAATAAAGAGATCAGTGTTCATTGATTGGTTTCCTCCTCATCAGAAGGCGTTCCTCACTTTCTTTCCCATCATGGATCGAGTCAACACAAGAGTTTGGAAGACCATTTGACTGATTGCATTTTGTATTCGAGAGTTCGACCATAAACTCGATATGAATTATTTTAATGATATACTTGATCAACTCTCGATCGTATGGAATCACTACTGTAAACAAAACGAATATCTTCATTTTCATACATAACAGACCTATCGTGTCTAATATTATAACTTCACAAGGATTATAATGATCAAAAGTCGCCCATACCCTCGATGTCGATGCATGTGCGCTTATCGATCATAGAGTGTTCTGCATTCTATTCCAGAGTGTGTCTGTATGGAATCAAGACAAATATCAATTGTCTCTTTGTCTTACTCTATTTTTTTCCTGTTCTTTTCTCATCGGCGCGGTCTTCATCTCTATTTTTCCTTGCACTCTCACGTCTGACTTGTGAAGAACGCAAAAAGAATCTTTTCTTGTTTTCTCTTACTGTTAAGGCAAAAAGGATAGAAAGTAGAAGAGAAAACTGATTGATTTTTGTAGAGGACAAGCGCCAGAACACGCACACATCTGTCCCATGTCTTCGACATAATATTTTTCAATCATAAACATATTAGTCCGAGTGTTATTGCTGTTAGTAAGAAAATCATGCGTGCACAAATAATGAAGAAGGCAAGGTAATAATATGCCAGTTGTTTTATTTTGGTATTTGACTTAAAACAATCATAGAAACCATCGTCCATAATTTATGTTGTAACCGCTTAACCGTTATTTTTTTTTTTGAGACTAAGTGGTGACTTTTTGCAAAATAATTTTTGATACACAGTAACGTAATCAATATGAAATATCAGAACTGGTAGAGAGATAGCTCCACTCAGTGCAAGATGTTAGAGTCGATTTAGGGTATAGAAAGAAAACAGACTCAAGAAATTGTAGTCGTCATTTTTTCCATACAGATTACTTTGACAAATATATTCGTCAATAACAATTAAGGAGTTAATATCTTTCCGAACTCTGAGTATTGTAAGATTCGCCTTGGGCGAAAAATCAGTTCTATGCTGGAATACTCTAATGTAAAGGGAAGACTGTTATTATAATTTAATCCGAATGAACGAACAAAAGAAAGAAGAGAGAGAACTCAGATTTTTGTTTCCCTGTGAATTTGATATTTTTTGATCGACATTGACTTATATATAGTTCCTGACTATAGTCCGCTGGTCAAAGCGATATTGATATCAAAATTTTTGAGATCTGAAATACCTCCCGAGAATTCGGAAAACTCTTTTTTCACATATCGATCATGACATATCGAGTTATAATCAGGTCAATCAACTGAATAAGGTCATTCGTAAATGTCTCTGTTTCAACTTCGCTATCGTTGATCTTAAATTACACGGAAATCGTCATCCCCGAAACGTGCACAGCGTCATCGTGTTCAGGATATTTAGAAACCTATATATTGAAGGTTTCGGAATGTTTAGATTGCGGATTTTTAGAAAAGAATTTTGACCATAGAAAGAACGTCGATATGACTTGTATAGACTGCACAATAACTAATGTTGTACTGTTTAGGTGACAAAAATAGACCAGAATGAAAGTGTTCAAATTTAAGATTGAAGTTTAACATTAGAAAGCTCGCTTTTAGTGATTTAGAACTACAATGTTTTTCCTACTACCGAGATCAAAATAGTTGAAGTAGACGTCTAGTACGATATTCCCAACGTATTCGAAGGGACCGTGAAAGCAGGGAAAATGTACATCCCCCCATAATTCAAAGTTTTCCGTTAGTATCAGCAAAAAGGAATAAGATTTTTTAATTTTTGTACTACGTCTTTGAGAATTTTTCTACACCACCAATCTTTGTTTGCCCATCATATTAACAGATAATCTTTTTTCTGACTTTCAGCATAATCAATGGTTAATCTCAATTATATCTCGAGGGTTGATAGAAATGGAACAAACGAATATTAAAAGAAATATCTTCTAAGTACTTAGAGACTCATGATTTTTCGAACAATCGCTAGTCATTGAAGATGAATGACGAAAATGAAAATGAATAGCAGAGCTCTGTAGTCAACCATTTCTTGATTGTCGCAGCTGAATTATTTTATCTGTTGACATAAATTAGGCATGAAAATGAAAAAATAATGGCGAAGAGAGCTATTCAATT